CGCGGAGGGCGAGGCCGCTGGGTCCTCCTCCCCGGAGGGAGAGGAGTGGCGCCCTTCGGGCTGCAGGGACCGCGCCCGGTGACCCAGGCTGGCCTCTGCCCTGCACTTGGTCCTGGGCCCGGGCTCTTAGGGGAACGAGTGAGGCGTCCCTGTTTCTTAATCATTTTCTGCAGCGCACTAGCCCCCCTTTGATTCTCGCAGCCTCTCAGCATGCTAGAGAGGAGTTTATTCCCTCTCAGCAGATGAGGAAACCAGTGCACATGGGTCTACCTGCTGGCGCCGAAGCTGATGCTCTTTCCTTGGCCCTGTCTTCTCCTAGGACTCTTGGTATAATACATGCTTTCTTAGGTCGGGAACCAAATCTCCTTAGTACCCCGACCTTCCTCCCCACCCCGCTCCACCCGTGACTTGTTCTTAAGCAGGTCTTAGTGTTTAGTGCTGGTTGAATTGAGAGAGACGACTTAGACTTGTCAGGGCAGCGGGCCCACCCCTCTGCCTAGTGTGTGTGGCTAGTCACAGTTACCTTAGTGGTAAGTTGTGGCATGTTTTATACTTTCCGAACAAGTTAAGGAAAGGATATACAGAACTAGCCTTTTCAATTAAAAAATAATAATAAAACGATTTAGAGAACATAGCCTATGTTTTGAATACAATTAGAAGCGAGTTATTAATATTCAGCGATAATCCCTATGAAGAAATCAACCACCCTATTCTGTTAGATTATAGTAATTGAAATATAGTACAGTAAGGAAACACAGGTGTTATTAATAATGTAGTAGGGAAAATCAAGGGCATATCCAAGAGGCCATTATTTTCTATTATTAGATAGAAAGCACTGGAAAGACTTACTAGAACAATGTTTTATATAATTTTGCCTGGATTCACCTTGAGCACTGGGGACATGAGAGAATAGTGGAGCAATGCCGTAATTATTATAGTATTTAATGAAATGCGTTTGATTTCAGTGTTTTCATGCATCTTGAAACTCATTCGGGTATACTCAATTTTTATTTCTGTGACTACTAGTAAGACATTAAAAAACTACATTTTGTGTATTTTGAATATACATTTAAAACATCTTTGCCTAAATTTGTAAAACTTCACAGCTTATTTAACTTTTTTTGGAAGAAGTCATATGATACCTGAACGGATATTGCTTCAGGGCAGATAGAAGGGCAAAGACTTGGAGTCCAGAGATTTGGGCTCCATTCTGCTATTTACTGGTTCAGTGATATGGAGCAAATCACTTAACTGTAATTAATTTATTTCCTCATCTATGCAGTGGGAGTAAATATTTCTTAAAGTTATAGTAAAAATCATGTAAATGTGAAAATGGCATTTTTAAAGTTTACAAAGAATAAGTACTAAAATACTGTATCTGCTGTAAAATATAATTTTTAGAAGTATTTTGATATGGATCGTACATGATCTTTTACTTTAAAGAGAACTTATGGAGGTTGTGACTCCTGTAAGGTCCTATCACTAGCCATAAAGCTAAGATGTGAATTTATTTGGTCTTGTTCCAAGTGATGTATTTTAGTAGTGGTAGGTACCATGTGCAGTTTCCCCAGAGGTAACAAAGAAATAGCTATTCTTTCTTAACTGGTATTAATGTAGCTTATTTGTGATAACTTTGAGAATCAACTTCTCAGTATTAGAAAATGTTAAATTTCATCGATGGTATCAAATAATATTTCTAATTTAAAAACCTTTTGTTTTATGGCTTAAAATGAGTATCTGGTGTTTATGTTTATAAACATGAATTATAATCATGAATTACTTCAGAACCAATTATATATCTCAACTAATAATGAACTAAACTGGATATTTATTTCTTTTAAATAAGACTACCTCTGGCATGAGTTTTCTTTCCTATTATAGAATGTTACAATGAAAATAGTAGCAGGGATGGTACCTTAGTGTAAGGAAAATGGTTAGATATTGTAAGTGGCAAAGGGTAAAGATGCCTTGAATATACACCTGCGTGTAAGGCATTGGGATTTGGGCTTTAAACTATTAAGGGAGATGGCTTTGGAGCCAGGTCCTCAGTCCTATTTATGAGCTCAGTTAGCTTGGGTAATTTGCTATGTGTCTCTGTTTTGTTATCTATAAAATAGAGATAATATTGTGCTTGCCCCAAAGGGTTATTTTGAAGATCATGTTTATTTTTAGAAATCACTCAGTGCCTAGCGTACATGAGTATTACCTGTTAGCTATTATTTTTAATTTCATAATCTCAACTTTAAAATAACTTTTTTGTTGGTAATTTGAATAACTTTTTCTAATCTAGACTGTTTTATACCTTCTTCCTTAAGTTTTTAAGTATATATTCTGTTTTTATATCTGTAATAAGTGATTTCAAATGGTGATGCCAAAGAAGAGTTGTTAAATCCTAATTGAAAGAGGATTGGAAGTTCTGACTCATGCAATCTGACAATAGAGGTTAAGTAAACTGGACAGTCTTACAGAAGCGTGATGGTGGCTAGGCAGCAAATGGGTTAGCTTGACCAGCTGCTTTTTTTGTGTGTGAAAATAACTCGGACTTCAGTGCTTTGTTAACAGATGCTCTGTTTGAGTAGAGGAAGAAAACATAATTGCCTTGGGTATGTAAGGCATACTGTTGGATGCAGAAAACCACAGTATTATCTCCTAGAAATAAACAGGGATTTTGTTTATATCAAGTTTCTGGGACACTTTTGTGAACAGGATGTGTTATGGATAGGTAGCTTTGTTTGATACTCACACCTTTTGATGATATCCTTAAGTGGTTTTAAGATAAAATCCCAAAGGTTTTTTTCACTTGGTGAAATGTGTATATTCAAAGAAGCCATTAAAATAAGTAAGACATTTGCACCTTTCTAGAATCTTGGTGCTTAGACTTTGATAGTTTAGGTTAAATTTTTGTACAGGACATCATTCACATTCATAGGGGTTGCTGTTTCTAGGAAAGGGTACTATAGAAACAAAGTTGGAGAGGAAGGGGTAAGGGATCCCAGAGGGAGGATGTCTCCAAGAGCATACATTGTCAATTGTTTGCTTTCTCCCATTTTTTCCTGTGTATTCTTTACTTTCTACTACTTGGAAGGGTTAGTGACAGTCAGACAAGGCTTGACTATATAAGACTGGACAAACCTAGAGTGGGAAGATTGAACTGAGTAGGGGGAATTTAAAGCATGACAGCTTGTAGCACGTAGCATGTTTACACTTAGCTTCCTAATCCCAGTTTCCTCCTTTACTCTGGAATTTGCCCTCATATTGTACTCTAGCAGTTAAAAACCTCCATCATATCCAGGTAAGCTACCAGCTGTCTAATGTTCCAGAAGTACTCCTAGTCAAAATAAATAAATA